GGGGGATCAAATCTTAGAGAGAGTGCAAGTTTAGAGTGAGAGGGTGTCGGATTTAGGGTTTAATCAAAGAAAAGGACTGAAAAAGTGATGTTTTAGACGCTGCTGTCCGCTGATATAAAACACTCTCGCTCGAGCGAAGGATTGGTCGCTCGAGCGACCAGACACAGAAAACTCTCGCTCGAGCCAAGAAGTTCTCGATCGAGCGAAGAAAAACCCAGACCGCTCGAGCCACGAAAAGCTCGCTCGAGCCAGAAACTACAACTCTCAGGTCCAGAACCGGGGCAACACTACTCTCGCTCGAGCGACAAACTCCTCGCTCGAGCGAAGGACCAAAAATCTGGGCAGCAACACTAGGCTCCCAAACACAACCAACCTGTAACAAACCTGCCCAACACATCCCATAACTCACTATACAAGGTACAAAGGATGCAAACAAGATAATAAACAACATCCAACATCCACGGACACATGTCCGGATCACTGTACAACAAGGGTAAACCCGGGATCGCTATATTAACTCACAACCTACGTGTACTAACTAGATTCCATCTATCCTCACATCCTATATTTCATGAAGAAGCTACTCATGACATATCACAACCCAAAATAAACCCAACATATCCAATACATCTAGCCACATTCATCAATAGATATAACCATTCTCCAACCTTAACATGTTAATTTCCAAGGCTTATACAAAAGGTTCCACATGCAATTTATACATTCATAGGTAAGTTTACCCATGAATCTATAGCATGTGAAGCATAAAGTTCTAAAATAAATGAAATGCCCTTATGGGCTACAACTTCCAAGGCTTAAGCCTGGTTACACAAAAGTGGCCTCTCGGACCCATACAAGAATAGCCCTTGGCTTTACAAAAATTTCACAACAAAAATAGAGAGTGATCTACTCTTATCAAGAACATATCCACGCCTTCAATTTGGCGGAATCACTACGTCTTTACCTGCACCAAAACCCATAGGGGTGAGCATAAAGCCCAGTAGAGAAAACCTTAACAAAGTATATGCATTTATGTAAGATAACCAGTATTAAATGCAATGTGAATGCCATGCAATGCTATTTCCAAAAATAACTCCATGCCATGTTTAAAAAAATAAAATAAAAATCCACATGCTTTCAATAGCGTTTGCAATCCCATCAATTTCAAAACTTCCAATTTAAACACAAGGGGCAATAAATACGACACTGGTAGTCTCTAGGTTGGTGTCTGCAAGTAAGCTCTACAAGTACTACCAAACTGTCATTTTTACCGGTGCTAACTGGAAGGCTCAACACCTATCTGCGTGGTTTTCTGGTCTTTCACCATGGACACACAGGCCAACTTGTTAAACTCAACTACACCCCTTATCTGGACTTACCACTTATTTACCCCATTCACATTACCATAGTTCTCATTTCAATACCCTTTTCTTTCATGAAGTAAATAATTTCAAACCAAAATACACAATGCATGATAGTATATCAAATGAGTATGCAATGTAACCACTTCTCCATGTTGCATGGAAAATTCTCAAATTCTCTAGTTATTCCAATAACATCACCAAACAACTCCATTCATCCACTATAACAAGTTGGGTCCTGAATGACGAAATTTTTTTGTCTCGAAAGAGCTAATTTCATCACTATAGATATTTGTGATGAAATATTTTGTCACCAGCTTCGTCATTGAATGTTTGTCACTAAAAACTACCATGACGAAAAATAATTTCGTCACCAATGAAATTAGTTCAGTGACGAAATTTTTTTGTCACCAATAAAACAAGATTTTGTCACAAAAAATTCTCATTTTCGTCACCAAATAATTATTCAATACCATATTTATAATTTTAGTTGACGAATAAATTTGTCACAATGTTAATCATTGATGAGGAAATAATTTCGTCACAGTAAGATGTAAAGGTGACGAAATTTTTCGTCTCCAAAAGTCATACATGGGTGATGAAATATATTTCGTCGCAAATATATTTATATACGTGACAAAATATATTTCGTCACCAAACAACAAAATCAATGAAAAATTCCATATATGCGCTACAATAAATTTTGTCACAAAAAATGTTTATTAATGATGAATAATCACTTTGTCATAATAACAAGTACAAATGACGAAACAAATTCGTCACTAAACCTGTTCCATATTTTATATTTCAATTTCAATTATTATTTCACAAATATCCCTGCTCATATCCCAATAGCCTTTTAATTGTACTAAGAAATCACTAGCTATTATACATCACTCTACAAAAAAAATCAATAAACAATATATATTATAAATCAAAATATATCCAGCAAACAACTTTAATAATATAAACCATTAAGTATAACAAAAAACCACCAAAGCAAATCCCAAAATGAACTAACGTGGAATCCAAAAAAAAATAAAAATAAAATCAACACTCAATCTTGATTTGCAACTACAACTAAGTATCAGTTCAGGAAACAAAATTCAACAGTTGATCTTCATTTGCAAGTATACTTCCAAACGTCATCAACAACCAATCTGCAAAGAAAATAGACAAAGAAAACATTAATATATTATCAATTACATCTAAACTCATATATAAATAATTTTATTTTAAAAACCAATTTAGTAGCAATGCATCTAACAAATTAGAACTTCAAAGAGTTGAGGTGATCCTTGATGATAAAGCAACACAGATAACATAAGATGCCAAAAGATTGCAAGAATACCATATATCACTATCACTAATGGCATGGCATGATATGGCACCTACATCGCATATTTCTTCATATATTACACATTGCTTAGCATTAGTTTCAATGCCTTCTTTTATATATTATATAGTGAACAAAGAATACCTGAATGTTTTCCTTGCAATGTGGACATACAGAATAGACTGGTGCTTCATTACCCTCAAAAGTATACTGCGTATTCCCTGTAACTGCATCCCACACCTGTAGAAAATTAAACCTTTACAACTAATGTCCAATCCTCTGCATTATTTGTAAAGCAATGACATAGAAACCAAACCTTAATGAGTTGATCCTCCCCGCATGTGACAATAGAAAGTTATTTGTTTGGGTAAGAGAATGCACGATCGTTAACACTACCAGAATGAGCATCAATTTGGATAACCAAAAAAAGGTATTTACAAAAAACGATATTGTGCAGAGATTTAAAGTGAGCTCTGAACACTAGAAATATTGACAGGAAAAAAAAATCAAAGCAAAAGAAAATCAATGGACTCCCAGTTGATTGATTGTGGCACAAACCTGTAGATGGTTTCGTACATCATTGCCACCATGGTAGGAATATATGTGCACAATGTTCTTGGAGTATGCAACACCTAATGACACATCCCAAATCCGGGCATGACCGGCCGTGGCCCACAGGGACTTAGCCCAAGGCACACGTAAGCCTAAACACGAATCCAATCACATTGAACAACTGAACAATAGTCTAATAATAAATAACCAAAACTCAATCCTGACATGTCACAATTATAAACGACAAAATCAACCGTAATAAAAAACCATCATCCAAACTTATGGGATATAAACAACCCACATATCAAAAATAATCCTAAATGAACTTCGATAAGAATAAATATAAATATGCACAAACTTGACATAACACTCTAAACTAAAGGAATGCCCTAGAGGTCCATGCAATTGAGTCCCCGCTACGCCATGAGTCCACTCTAAGTCCTTCTAACACCTGGAAATGGTAAACAACTAAGTCAGCTGATAGCTCAGTGAGTAGCAACATGGATAGTAAATACAGTTTTGAAAACAAGGTTCAATTCCAAAATAAGATATATATCACAAAAACTAGATTGGCATACAGTTTGGTAAATACAATCTGTTTCAAAAAGAAGATTCCACACTACACCCTTACCTATACCAGAGTGGAAGTGGGATCATGATACCATGGACTTTGTGTGTGGTTTACCTTGTACTAGTAGTAATCACGATGCAGTTTTGGGTTGTTGTTGATAGATTAACCAAGTCAGCACATTTTATTGCAGTTCGGATGAACTATTCTCTAGCTCGATTTGCACAGTTTTATGTAAAGGGGATTGTTAGATTGCATGGTGCACCTGTGTTAATAGTGTCAGATCGGGACCCTCGTTTTGTGTCTGAGTTTTGGGGTGCGTTACAGTCAGTTATGGGTACTTGGTTAATTTTAGTTCAGCTTATCACCCTTAGACAGATGGGGTATTGGAGAGGACTATTCAAATCATTGAGGATATGTTGAGGGCTTATGCTTTGGAGTGGAGAGGTAATTGGGATGATTATTTGCCGCTCATGGAGTTTGCGTATAATAATAGTTATCATTCTAGTTTGGGAGTAACGCCTTATGAGGCTTTGTATGTGAGGAAGTGTAGGTCTCATTTGTGCTGGTTGAGGTTGGTAAGAGGCAAATGTTGGGACTTAATTTGGTGGAGGATGCTCACAAAAAAATTATCACCATTAGAGAAGAGATTATTGACTACTCAGAGTAAACAAAAAAGTTATGTTGATCATCGTAGGAGAGATTTAGAGTTTCATGTGGGGATATGGTATTCTTGAAAGTTTCACCATGGAAAGGAGTCATCAGGTTTGGAAAGGAAGGAAAGTTGAGTTCTAGATACATTGGACCATTTGAGGTATTAGAGAAGGTTAGTGAGGTTGTGTACCGTGTTGTTTTACCCCCTAGGTTGGCAGGAGTGCATAATGTGTTTCGCGTGTCTATGCTGAGGAATATGTGCACAGTCCGTCGCATGTGATAGATTATGAGCCACTTCAGATTAGAAAGGATTTTTTTTCGTATGAGGAGATACCTGTTCAGATTTTGGTTCGAAAGAGAAAATGTTGCGTTACAAAGGTCATTAAATTGGTTAAGGTACTGTGGTGTAATCATCTTGTTGAAGAGACGACTTGGGAATGCGGGACGAGATGCGCGGAAAAGTACCCACATCTATTCTCATGATTTACTCAGGTTAGTTTCGAGGACGAAACTTTTTTTTAGTAGGGGAGAATGTGAGAACCCGAATATAAAATTAAGTAAATAATTATAATAATTTTACAATCTCAAATATTTTATTATGATCTTTAAGTGCAAATTAAATATTATTAGAGGATCTTTTAATTAATTTTAAACCTAAATAAATTTATGGTGAAAGTCATTGATTGAGAAGCAAGATTTATTATAAAAAAAATATATATATATATAGAGAAGAGGGTGTGACTTGAACTCTAGACCACAAAATTAATAAGTTAGACTCTTACCATTTGAATTGCATGTAACTTATATATGTATTTTGTATATTTATCTATCTATTTGACCTAAGTGTGCCACAACTAGTATAAAATAAAATAAACACAAACCCTAACTCTTGTTATAATTGTTTTCCACAACACTAGCAACCCTAGCAGCCGTGGGTTTATGAAGAAAAGAGAGGGGTTTTCAATCATCAAGATATTGTTGTAGCCAAGAAGGAGAGCTTTGGTGTGTTGTGCTGTGTGGCTTCCTAGGTTTTCTTCTCTTCTTTCTTTGTTCTTTATCCTAATAATATTGTTATTTAATTCATTGATGGAGAGATTGTAGGTGTATGCATTTTGTGTATATATATATGCTGTTAAGAAATCTAAGGAGTTAAATTCATGTTATAAGAATCGGTGTGAATCTTAGTCCAAAAATTCTGCACATAATCGCTAACTTTAAAAATCAAGAAACCATATCAAACGGATGAATTTTAATTTGAAATTTTTACAGTATATCAATTACACATTGAATTGCATATCTGAATTTTTTCATAATTTTTTGGGAGTCGAAATCCATATAAATTGAGGTATTCAAATCTGTCCAGGAAACCAGTCCGAAACAGTAAATTCGGGATTGTTGTTCTTTTTGGGTATAAATCTAAAAATTATCAAATTAGTGTCATTAGAACCGGTTATGAGTCTAGTTTCGTACGTTTTTGGCCTTGCATTGATTGCTCGTGTATATTAAGAGAACCGTTAATTTCTTTAAAGTGCTGCAGAAAACAACCTCTTTGGATATAATAAATTGTAGAAAAATTATTTTGATAAGCAAATCAAGTGAAACCAATTGGGTTTGAAACATAGGATATATTAGATCATATCTGGAGGTTATTGGAATTTTTCAAATAGCGTGGAGTGGATTTTGTAATTTTCAAAGTTAGCGAATAGATTGGGAAAACTTGTTTAAAACACTGTTTCATCTTAAAGTTATTTTTAGTTAAGTTTCGATCGGAATCTATGTCTTGGGTGATTTTAGACCTTGAAGAATATGAACTTAGGTAATATTTAAGAGTAACGGTGAGTTGGGTTGAGCCGTGTTAGTGCGTTTTAGTTTGAGATTACTTAGTTCCTATTTTTTTTAGTATTTTTAAATTAGTTGTGACGCGTAGTTTTTATACTTGGTTCAGGCCACTAGTTGGACTTTTACACTCTATTCGAGGATTATATTATGCGTTTCAGGTGAGTAGTTTCATGCTACATATTTTTATAAATGTTCCCCTACCCTGAACTGTTGGAAAAATTAAATTGTTGTTTCATGATTAAATGTTTTGATAAATTATTATATTATCAATTGAATCAAATTATTTCTGAAACATGTGTGAACTTGGCATAATGTAAACTATTTGTTTTGGTCTCATGTTTATAATGATGAACTACCATGTTTTGCGAAACTGATGTGTATTGATTATTGGGACCATGTGTGTATTTAGTCCAGGGAAATTATTCCATGTGTGTGGTGACTCTGGCCACTAGGGAACAGATCCGGGTTGGGCCGTGATGACTCTAGTGCTCAACGATTGTAAGGAACAGACCTTTAAAAACAACTAGGTGACCTTCAATCGGATCGTCTTTGAGAAAAGGCCAGGTCCACCCTGAGGATGACTCTTAGTTCGGTATTGGATCCAACGGGGCTTATAGCCTGAGAAATGTGTGGCAGATTATTTGTTTTTATTGGTACCCAGAAAATTATTGGTGTTCATGTTATAATCTGTTTTAAGTGAAAAAAGTCGTTTATCATGTTCTTGCGAGACATGAGTATTTTAAGTGTTGAATTGGTGGAC